GGACTACAGGCCAGACCGTTGCACTTAGCCCGGTGAAATTTGCACAACCTATAGATCAAGGATGTGCGACGTGCCTTTGAGGGGTCTGGGCTCGATCGGATTGATAGAGAGCGCGTGACGCGTGCTCAAAAAGTGCGAATTCGCGCCATAGACTTTACATGTATAAATCGGCTTGCAAAATCGGGCGAAAACGGCTAATTTTGGCTGACAAGGGTCCAGTCCCCGTGCAATATCTTGGTGCCCAGTAAACATGACGACGTCGGCCCGACGTCGGGCCGAGGCTCGGCCCGACGTCGGCCCAACGTCGGTTCAACCTCGGCCCGACATCGGCTGGACGTCGGATATGCCCGCATGTTCCGACGTCCACCCGAAGTCCAGCCGACGTCGAGCCGACGTCGGGCCGAGATCGTTTGCCGAGGTTGACGAGATCGTTTGTCATTGGACCGACGGGGCCGACGTCGGCATGTTTATTGGGACAACGCGCCAAAAATATCATCCGGCGGCGGGATTCGAGCCCCCCCAGTCGCCGACGTCGGCATGTTTACTGGGACAATACGCCAAAAGCATCAGCCGGCGATGGGATTCGAACCCCGTGTCATTCGAACGCATGGTTAGTGCGCTAACCACTACACCACGCAGCCAGATAACGAGTTAGGTTTGTTTTGTTGGGTTATGCCCCTTCGGTCTGACAAGACCATTTCAGAGCCGGAAGGGTCACAGGATGGAGACATTGGTCTTCTTGGCGAGCACCCTGGGTCCAGTTCATATAGAGTCCCTGGTCCCATTGCTGTTACGTGACACTTATTGGAAAGGGCGACCCCACAATGGATTCATATAGCCACTTTACACACCTGCACCAACGTTGCCCAAAGTGTCCCTTTGATAAGTGGCACTTTGGCAAAGTGACACTTGCCGACTGGCCTTTCTATATGAACTGGGCCCGGCCCTGGTGAGTTGCCGGGGCTGAGCCTGACCAAAGGATAGGCCGAGCAGCCCCCAAGCACTCACCGCACCCGGCTACGGGCGAGCTCGGCTTACGGGCAATCCCAAATGGGATAAAGTTTCCCGTCCAGTCCGGATCAGGGGGTTGCGGCGTGGAGGAAGATTTGAGTTTCCTGAGGATATTTTGAATACAGAAGCTCTTTATGAAACATGAAACATGTATTTTGCATTATTTTAACGGTCAAAACAGCGGCCGATGTCGGACCGACGTCGCCCCGACGTCGGCCCGACGTCGGCTAGACCTCAGCAATTGATCTCGGTCCGACGTCGGCCCGACGTCGGCTGGACCTCGGCTGGACGTCGGAACATGCGGGCATATCCGACATCCAGCCGACGTCGTGCCGAGGTTGGACCGACGTCGGGCCGACGTCGGCATGCCGATGCCGAGTTGCCGACGTCATCCCGACGTCGGCCGACGTCGGGCCGACGTCGGCATGTTTACTGGGTGACCAGGGGTCCGACCGGCACGGGGAAAACAGCATCGTGTAGATAATTGAATGGGCAATGGAATCGTGTGCGGTGCAGGGGATGGCACGCGCCACGTGCACCGGGGAGGGCACTTTTGTTGAAAAAAAATGCGGTTTTTGAAGGATTTTGGAATTGATTTTATTTTTAGGTGACCGTTAAACGGAGCGAGTTGGAACAACGCCTGTTGGCAAGAGAAATGTACCGCCTATCATATAAAAATTGTGAAAAGCTGATTGATCCAAATCAAGGTGGTACAAATCACGGGAGAAAATGGTGTTTGTCAATTTTGTGTCACTTTGTTCATCAAAATGGCTTTGCTCCATGATCTGATGTATCTGGCAATTAAAAATGGCACCGTTGGAAAGAGCATTCAATTCTGACCAAGGTTCAGTCTTCATTTTTGCATGATGAGCAACAGTATTCTTAAAAATATAAATGTTCCAAACCATTACATTGTCATTTTTAGCGAAATTCATTGATGGCCCTTAACCCTCGCACGACCAGGCCATTTCTCATAACACGAACGACCAGGGGGGGGGTTGTTACGACCCCCCCCCCTGGCGTTTCGAAACGGAAGGTCGTAGAGCTTAGCGGAAAAAACCAACGGGTTGCTCTCAACGAGATCTCGCGATTGGTGGTATATTTTTTGGTCCTAGGTCAACATTTGACCTACTTTTGACCGGTCAAAGGTCAAATTTTCGGAAAAATAGACTTTTTTCAACTTTCGGCGGCGATTGCGGCAAAACGGTGGGAGATATCGACTTGAAATCTTCACTATCGTGTTCCTTGATCAATTCTCTATCGTTTGGTATGTATTTCGTTTCCCTAGCTCTAAAAATGGCGCGTTGGGAGCGTCGGAAGTCGGCAAGGTCACAGTCGGCGGCAGAAATTCGAAAAATCAAAATTTAAATTTTTGAAATCTGATTGTATTTTTGGATTTGGGAGGTCCATTTGCTCCCTATAGAAGCTAATATTGCTGCATATTCCCATTGAGGTGACAAGAATTAGCAAAATAGTGGTTCGGGCGCTTTTCAAAAATAGTACCGGACGCTGTTCCTCTTGTGACGTCATAGCTCCGTGACCTGACCTGACCCGGTCAAATTTCTTATACCATATGATAGCCAATACTTGCCCCAACATGCATGGGAAGTTTCATCACGATCCATCAACCGATGTCCGTACCACCGGCAGGAAACCTCGGGCGTTGGCACTCAGTTTGTGAAAATCCGGCCGGAGGCTGTACCTCTTATGACGTCATAACTCCGTGACCTGACATGACCCGGTCAATTTTTTTTTATCAAAAGATGCGCAAGGTTTGCCCCATAAGGTACCCAAAATTTGGCGGCGCTGCGCGCCGCCGTTTTTGCACTATTTCCGAAAAACCTCAGGGGGGGGGTTGATACAACCCCCCCCCTAGGCGTTCTAGGGTTAAAAGACTTCACGCCAGTTTTCGAATCATTCTAAAGTAGAACGCATGATAATACGACACGGGCACCTCGATGCGATGTATCTTTTTGTTTTCTTACAAAATGCTTGGCCGTCAAAAAGCAATCGAACGAAATGGATATCTACCAAGCAAATCGACACAGACCAACCCAATACCCACGGGTCAAAAAATCCCCCCTTCGCGTTGCGGAGCACGCGGGTAACCCTAGTTGTCTTCTCATGCTGTCGAATGCTTTTCCTTGGTCGATAATAGATTTAGGATGGATTTGCCTCACGGACGGTTAATCAAACATTGAAGTAACGGACGAAGCTTGCGATGTTTCTAGCAGGCATTATCTTACCGAGATCGCAGGATTATTTTTGTACCATTACTTGTTATAGGTATAGTAGCAGCTTTCAGTCGCTGTTCGCAACTGGCGCTCATTAGTTTAATTTCCAACTACCGATCAACGGGGATGGGTGGTTTAGCGGCATGATGTTGGGTGGCTATGAAAAGCTTTTACAAACATTATGCCTAAAAAATATTTCAGAAAGCGGCTCCCGCACAAAGCGTTTCATTTTACGGTTTTGCTCTATGGAGGCTTATCCGTTGACCGCGAACCAAAATAAGGGCAATTTGTCTTTGACCTCGGAAAAGTGTCTGGTCACCTGACCTCTGGGCTCTGCTGGACCAAATATAATCAAAGCGTAACCTTGCGACCTTCACAACATTGCTGACGTCTTGTAACTATATAGTCCAGGGGACGAGTTAGGTCCTCGTTTAGACCCCCTCGCCATCGTCGGCTTGAAAATTCATGGGCCCCAGCGGGCACTGGCTTATGCGCAGATTCACAGCATAGGCTTTTCGATTTCGGGATTCACATAAGCTTTTAAGAGCTTGTTTTGGAGCCCATATTTCAAAACTCAGTGGTGGAAAACACTTAAAATCAGCCTGACCTCACCTAACCCTAGCTTCTCCAAATGTCACGAGAAAAATTTCGAAATAAATCCAAAATGCCACAGACTTCGTTTCCAAGAAGTTCTAACAGATTCGGACTTTGTGTTTTGGGTCCTTGACCCACCATTGACCGTCGACGAATGACCTGACCATAATATCAGATACCACCGGCTTCATGTTGTCTAGGCCAGCATCTTCATTTTTCGTGAATCTCTTATACTCGGTCAGGAACCGATCAGCTGTAGGAGTCCGATCGACCCCCTCCCCCTCCCCTCCCCCGGCCTCTAGGTACATTAGCTGCTGTAAATACGCCAATAAGGACAAGGGTGGACCCGAAGAAGAGAAAGTTGAATACTAAACACACTAATATGTCCAAAATAAGCTATGGATTTACTTGGGGTACTCCTAAGGATATGCGATGGGTAGTCTTGGGATTCGAGACGAGAATCTTGGGAAATTCTGGTCGAGATCTTGGGATGGAGCAAAAATCAGTGCTGCCAGATTTGGAGGATTTCCGCAAATCTGGAGGATTTTGAACTCTATTTGCGGACAAATTTCGGTGTTGGAGGATTTTTGATTCTGGAGGAAAATCTGGAGGATTTGTCGCCCGATTATTATATTCAATTTCATGGAAAAATATAACACATTCAAGACTAAAAAGGCATTTTCCTGCCCAGCGTCACCCTACCCGTTAGGATATATCACGTCCTTTATCACCGTGAGACTGCAGAATGTCTCAGTCTGTAGCTATATTTACGAGGGTAGGTACCAAACTACTGGCGAATCTAAGGGGAACATTTGGGGCAAATGCCCCCGGCCCCCTGCAGCGCCCGAAATCTACGAAAATTTTCGTTTTTTCTAAAAGATATAACGAAAACTCAACAACCTTTATAAGAAAAAGTATCTTTTAAACTGCACAGCAGTGCGAAAGGATTCGAAATCCGATGAGTTTTTTTTTTAGAATTTGGTGAAACTTTTTTGGGGGTATAGCCCCCCGCAGCGTCCAAGACCGCCTTTCTATATCTACCAATAGGATTTGGAGGAATCTGGAGGATTTTTGTAACTGATATGGAGGATTACAGCCTTCCCCATCTGGCAGCACTGGCAAAAATGTGGATGGCATCACTGGCTGCTATCTTCGATCTTCGCAATCGGCAGGAATAATTGGTCGCAGAAGTGAAAAATAGAATTATAAATGATAACGACCCATCGCTCATTTTTTTACGGCAATTCCTCAAGAATCTGTTGGGACATTGGGACGCTGAGAACCAGGGTAAGTGGGCATGCATCTTTTGTATTTCAATTTAAGTTTTGATTTGATCCTGGCGGGACCTGGCCCATTTTGATTTGTCATTGTCAGAATAAGTTTCAATTTTCAAAGTCCCTCAATAATTGCTCAGAATGCAGCAAAGATGTGTATTTTTTAGGGTTGCGGTGTCAGAGTTTGAGTCAGCCAGATTCAACAATTTTGCATAGAGTCAGAGTTGGAGTTAATAAAATCCTACTGCCTCCGATGCTCAAGAGTTGAGCTATCGCTGCATGGCTCAACATCAAACCCTGCACCTGGTTACTCAGCAATCCTATGCTCTTTGACCTTTCAAAATCAGTCTGTCAAAAAAGGCCATATTTCTGTTTTGGATAAGCATTGTCAGTGAAAGAAGCTAAAGCAGAAGAAGGGGGATTTGCCAGAACGGTAGAACCTGCTGTTAATTGTATATGCCATTTAAAATTTAAAACAGGTCAAGGCCTTGGAATGCACAAAGGATCATTATTCATTTCAGGCAATACAAAAACATCACCATGAACTTTATTTTCATGATACCTATGGATTTTAAGAAAAAAGTCCAGAGTCAGGGCTGGAGTGGGAGCTGATTTTTGAAGCTGGAGTCAGAGTCAGAGTCAGAGTCACCTGAAAATCCATCAAGTCTGCAGCCCTGGGGCTGGTGTGCTTTATTGTTTTGGTAGATTTTTAAACAATGCATTGAACTATTTTTATGCAGCAGCATGCAAAACTGATGCAATTTTTCAAATGAGCTCTGACAAATGAACTGACAAAATTCAATGAATAAAGTTAAAGATGTACCTGCACAAATGAAATGTTAGTGACATGTTACATATTGATTTTACATGCTACCAGCTACACTGATTGCATTTTCAATAATCATGGATAAGGCAATGCAAAACTTAGCTGTTGGATAGGTCATGCAAGAACACTGTAGGTTTAAATCAAGCTTGAGTTTGTTTTGCATTGACTTTAATCTAGAAAAGAATGCCACAAATGGAATTAGTGCTGAGATTTGTTGTCAGTAGAATCCAATGCATATATCCCAATATTTAGTTGAGGGATTAATTCATATTGTATTTTGAAAAGGATAGACTTCATTTCTAAGTTCCCACTCCAAGCCTCCAAGCTGAAGCATGCCACTGATCAGTGCAGATTGTGCATGCATTGGTGCAGAATGCTAGCTGCTACTCCACACTTGGCCTATTGCTATAGTCCATTGTGCTGAGTTGTGCTGTCACCCCTTCCTATTTCTACCCTGTCACCAAGTAAAAAGATATATTTTCAGATGTTTAATGTTTTGCATCCTGATACTTATACCCACTCACCCACAATATTTCCTGGCATCTGCATATCAATTTTGGTAAGTGTGCAGCATTTTTTTTTTTTCAGAAACCTGCCCTATGCCTGTTGCTCATTATCAAGTTTCTACTTAAGTACCCTTTTACACATAAAAATGGAATGCTATTCAATCTGCTCGGCCTTGAGCAGTGAAACAGAAACCATAGCAATATGTAGAAAGCTCTTATTTCAATGGATGTATACACTATACTTGCATACATATTACATAGTTCATGTTGCCTACATTTACCACATTCAGCTTCCACTGCGATCTTTCATTACATATAATAAGTCAAGCTCCATGATCACATCTCATCAGATCTGGATCCCACCCACAGCACTGGGTTTTCTTACCTGGTTATCTGATCTTACACACTGTTGGGCTTAGTCACAGTTTCTTAATTCCAATTCTGTAAACCCACTGGGCCCAATCCCTGATTTCATGTAATATCTTACAAAAAAAAACATTGCCATTCCAGTGATGGGACATGATTTGTGTTTATGACGCTGTTGACTGGCTATGAAAAGATGTCTGAATTAGAATATAAATAAATTGATAATCTTCATGAAAATATCCCGGTCTCGTTATTTATTTTCCCAAGTTACAAACCCTAGAAAAAAGGCTAACCTAGAGCAGATTTAGCCGGTCTTTTCCCCTCGTATTTTGGTCAATAATCCGATCAAGAAGGTCAAATTATGACAGAGACCTTAAAATCGGATACCCTTGACTTCACCTTGTCCCAAGCGACACGCTCGTTTGGCTCGCTTTTCTGCCATGGGGCTCACGCTCATGGGCGATGGTTAGTTTACCCATATGTACATATGGAGGGTACATACTGAAAGCCTAGCCAGGAGGTGGGGTGGAGTGAAAGGGTGACCTTTTATGTGGCCGGAACCTAGAATAAGTGGTACATAACATTATTTTTTGCTATTACCTTTCAAAAGTAAAGATGGATCACCAGAATATGCATGCCATCTGCTGGGATTCGTCTATCGTCCGCGCTCCCATGGCGGCAGAAAGACGTCTTCCTGAGCGATGTGGTTACGCGGCTACTTATCTTGTCAAAATGACTTATCCAGGACTGACGGCGTGACCTTGTGCCGAGCGGCAGTTACCCGCTCGGTGCTATTGAGATCAATGAATCGTCCCTCGGGTAGACTGAGCCAAGATTCTTTGAGACTGAGCGGCCGGACTCGGCTGGGGACGGACGGGCGAGATTGGGCTGGGGACGGGCGGGCGAGCCGTTTGCTAGTGTGGGTTGGAGACGGACGGATGAGACGCGGGTGTGAACTAGCTGTAAACGAGCGGGCCTAGTGGTCTGGCTGGTGCGCTAATATGGGTCTAGAATCAGGCGCCCGCTGGAGCCAGCTGAACGTTTCAGCGTATTACCGATCTCGTATTACCGATGTGGTGTTTGAGTGACCACCGGGCACCGACTGCCCTGTTTCATCATCGTTTGCCATGGTATCAACGTGAATGTATCACCCAGACCCAAACAGCATTTATTGTTCATAGCTCGTAGGGGTAGTCAATAACAACAAGTCGCAATAGTCAAACCATGTACTGAAGTTCACTCTCCAGTCTCCGACCAGCTCGGCGTCGATTATATCGCACAGCCACATCTATCTGTGCGCACACATACATGGTCGTCGATCACACTGCGGGGGGGGGGGGGAGGCGGGGTTGGAGCGGCCTTAGACAGTGGGCAGAGACCCGCGGACGACCGCCGCTGTTCGCCGGCTGCTGGACCCAGAGCGCCCCTCGCTCGGGCGCCGTGCGCCACCGGGACGCCCTTACTGGCCGCTAATGAACCCACGGATGGCCTCGTTGACCTCGTCAGGCTCCTCCATCATGGCCCAGTGGGAGGCGTTGGGCAGCAGGTGGACGCTGAAGCGGTCGGCGTAGCGTGCCGCCATGGTGGCCAGCAGGGGGCTCAGCGCCCGGTCTCGCTCGCCCCAGATGACTAGCAGGGGACAGGTGACGCGTGCCACCTGGGCTGGCTCTCCGCGGTGCCAACGCCAGCCAAAGTTCTGCCGGTAGTAGTTAAGGGGCGGTGTCAGCGCTCCCGGCTCTCCAAACGTGTACTTGTACGCGTCGACCATCTCGGGCGGGTAGTGATGGCGCGCCGACGGGTTCTCGTGGAACATCTTGTTGAACATGTTGAAGTCGTCCAGCTGCATCACCTGCTCGGGCAGCCAGGGCAGCTGGAAGAGGTAGATGTACCAGGAGCGGAACATCTGGTCCCAGGAGTGCTGCAGCACCTCCTCCATGGCGTCCGGGTGCGGCGCGTTGATGATGATGAGTTTCTCGACCAGCGAGGAGCGCAGTCTGGCCAGCTCGTAGGCGATGATGCCGCCCCAGTCGTGTCCGATGACGGTGCAGCTCTGCCGGCCCAGGGACAGCACCAGGTGGAACAGGTCCTGCGCCACCAGCTGCCGGTCGTAGCTGTCGCGGCCTTCCGGCTTGGCCGACTCGCCGTACCCGCGCATATCGACCGCCACCACCCAGTAGTGCTGGGAGAGCGCCTTCAGCTGGTAGTGCCAGCAGTACCAGAACGCCGGGAAGCCGTGCAGTAGCAGCAGCAGCGGCTTGCTGCGGTCGCCCTTCTCCACATAGTGCAGCTTGATGCCGCCAAACACGGTGGCGAACTTGTGCGCGCCCAGCGCCGGGTCGTCGAGCAGCGCCGGCCGCGGGCGGCGGCGCGGCTGCAGCGCCTCCGCCCCGCGCGTCACACGGCGCACGGCCAGCAGCAGCAGGAACACGCCGGACCAGAAGGCGGCGAGCAGGGCGGCCACGGCGCCGCGCACCGGTCCCACCACCTGCACCATGACGGCCGAGTCGCGCGCCGTCCGCTCACCGACTGCGCCGCCGGAGCGCCCGCCGCGTGACTGGGCGCCGCTGCCGCCCGGAGCGCCTGCCGCGTGACTTGGCGTCTCTCCGCCGCCGCCGCCCGGGGCGCTGTGAAGAGTCGTTATCGAGGCGTCGCTGTCAGCAGATTTGGTCACCTGAACACTCCTGAGTAAAGTCCGGCGCCCTATCAGCCAGTGATAGTGGTGTGATTGGGAATTTCCGATGTCCGATAGGCAATCATCTGAAGGATCGGGAAGGTTTGCTTCGCTCCCCCTTTTTCGGATTACTGCTAGAGTCGCCTGGTAGTGGCGAGGGTAGTGCTTTACGTCTTGCGATATAGATTAAACACGATCATGGAATGTCCAACGTGTTGGGATATTTATTTTTCGTCACGTGCCAGTTTCTGTGGACCTCTTAAAGATTTTGCTACCTCACATGGGTCATATTGGCAATGAAAATATCTTCGTTCCCATGTAATTTCGTGTCTCTTTGTTCCAGACGCTGAGCTGCGACTGAGCGACCGATTGTGTAAGTTGTGTCACCAGTGACACCGCTCTGACAGCCGGGCCGCCGGTGGGTGACACCGCTGTGTCACCATGTCGCTGGTCGACGCCAGCTGCCCGGTGGAAGTGCAGGTAAGCCGAGAAACATCTTCGATAACTATGTGTTCGGATTTAGCCATGGCTACTTCTTATAGATATAGCGGTCATGACAGCCTGCCATGCAGCCATCATATCCAATAAACTCTTGCGCAAACAATGAATTTAAGCTAACCACACACCGGCGTATCAATCATATCATGCCTTCTGTGTTTATTGCTCGCATGTTATCGTATCATGAGGTTCGTAACGTAATGGACGTGACAGTGCGCGCGTTTATTTGCCCGTGCCAGGAAGGTAGGCGGTCAAAGTCATAAATATCGCCGAGTCACAGTGATTTGGCAGTTACGTATTCATGAGTCCTACGCACACACTTTGACCTCGAGCCCCGCCTGGACGTGATCACAGCAGGATTTTATAAAAAGTGCACTGTCATTTTGAACTTTGGAACCGCCCGTGTGAATCGTCACGAATAGCTCCGGTGGCTTAAGTCAACAATGGAAATAAACGAATGAAAGGTCCTTTTGGTGATGTCATACGAATTGTGATGACGTCACGCTGACTGCTGTTTTGTTTTGGGTAGCGTTGAATTGCAGGTCGTCGGCTATCTAACTGCCAATTCATCTGCCCCGCTGACTGACAAAATGCCTTAAAGAATGATATGAAGCCGCTTAGATGAATCCGTTTCCGCTTCTCTCATTTACTCGAGTATCGATTCTATTGTTGCTGATTGTAAACTATGCCGATGATTTCAACGACTAGCGCCATATAAATGAAGAAGACTCATTAGATACCCAACTCAACATCATTAAACACTAAACAGTTCTGCGTTGTAGATTACACGTTCCCAGCGACTAATGTTTCGTAGTTTTATTGCGTATATAGTGAGCGCGCATATTTCACCCTTTGACGTCCTTGTTGCAGGACTTCCGGTTCCTGCAGCTGAAGCCGGCCTCGTTTGAGGAGAAGCCCGCATTCGCGGCCAAACATAGCTCCTGCCTGGCCGCCTGCAACAAGTATGGCCTGCTCTTCGTCGCCCTCGGGAAAACCGTCAAAGGTATGGAGCCCTATATCGCTTTAGACGATAGGTACTGATGGATATACAATAGTCTTTTAAGAATATTCACCGTTTTAAGTTTTAACTTATGGTCTCTACTCTCTTTATTGACCTCTGACCATTGTCACCAGCTGACCGTGACCTCTGACCTCCTGAACCCTTCTGCTGACCTTTGACCGTGACCTCTAGCCTATGCCCGTGTCGTCTGACCTCTGGCCGTGACCTCTGACCTCTGACTGTGACCTCTGACCTCCCCAGCTGTCCGTCTGGCCGACCTGACGGCGCCGGAGCGCGACCCGTCCGCGCCGCCGCCGGTGGCCGGCCGCGCCACGCTCGCCGCCGATGTGACGCACGTGGCACTCAGCGGCGATCAGCTGACGCTCCTGGTGGCCACCACGCGCCAAAACTGCGCGCACGGCTACCTGTATGATGTGCGCGCCTTCGCGGCGGACCAGGTGAGGCGGGCGGGTTGGGGCGGGCCAGTACGCCATGATTACCACCTATCTGCCTAACGGGGTCAAACTCCCGGCCGATTGGATTTACGAGTACATGACTGGGCTTCCCCACTCGACAGCAGTGGGGTGGGACAGTTAGACGTAGGGTGGTGATTTGATAGCTCGGTGGAAATAACATTTACGATACCTGTAGTTAAAATTTTAGTTGAAGTGGGAAACGATTTGACCTTCAAAGTTAATATGCAATTTGCAGCCATTCGTATGGTTATGACGAAACAACCTTTGTGTGGTGTTGTTAGTCTGGGCTTGGTTGTCGCAATTCCATGTTGATGCTAGACTTTGTTGTACCTTCTGTAAGGTGTTGAGCCATTTAGCAGCCCCACAGCTGTGTGTTCCGTGCGCACAGAACCTAGCGTCGTCTGGTAGCCCCACAGCTAACTCTGTGTGCTCCGTGCCGACAGGAGGTGCGTCCGTTCGCCGAGCTGCGTCTGTCTGCCGAGCCGGCCGACCCGCCGCTGGAGCTGCTCTGGAACCCCGTCCAGGCCGACCTGGTCGCCGTGGTGTTCCAGTCGGGCTCGCTGGCGCTGTTCCAGGTGGCCGCCGACACGGGAGCGGTGACCGTGCACCGCTTGCCGGCCGCCATCGGCGTCAGGTGAGCGGCTGTAAAACAGTGCAGCATGGCCGTGGGCCGAATATGATAGCAGAGATAAACAGGCGCGCCGGATGGTTGGGTTCGAGTAGCTAGACAGGGGCAGATCCGGTGAGCGTTATTAGCTTGCCTCCTCTCCGTCGGGCTCTCTCCCTCTCCCTCTCCCTCCCTCCCCCCGTCCAACCCGATGAGTCTCTCACCTCTCTCTGCCCCCCCTCCCGCCTCCAGGTGCGGCTGCTGGAGCCGGAAGGGCAAGCAGCTGGTGGTGGGCCGCCGGGACGGCCGGCTGACCCAGCTGCGGCCCGACCTGAGCGAGGCGCGCTCGATCGCCGCGCCGCCGCTGGCCGACCAGCCGGCGCCGCCAGAGGCCGTCTCCGTCAGCTGGCTCAACACGTACGAGTTCATGGCGGGCTATCTGGCCGCTGGCGACTGCCAGCCGCAGCTGGTGCACGTGAGCGCGCCCAAACAGGGCGCCGCCACCTACTCGGCCTTCCAGGACGTGTGTTTCGGCTCTGGCGAGGAGCGCCGGCCGCTGTACTACCTGCACTACGTGGCCGAGTGGTCGGTGGTGCTGGCCGCCTCCAGCTGCTCGCTGGAGGTGGCGGTGCTGGGAGCTGCGGCGGCGACTGACGGCGGCTGGCTGCCCTGGCTGCTGGAGGGGGACGCGCGCGCTGAGCTGCCGCTGGCCGACGGACGGGAGCTGTTCCCGACCGGCCTGGCCGTGAGCAGCTGCAGCCAGCGGCCGGTGCCCTGGGGCGAGAGCTCGCAGCTGCCGCCGGCACCCACCCTGCACCTTCTGACCGACACCGGACTGCTCTGCTCCTACCACCTGATCAACCTGAAGGACGGAGCGCCGGCCGTCACCGAGCCGCCCCAGGAGGCCATAGTGAGTTTCTTGTTTCAGTTTCCAAACAAAATTTTGCTACCTGGCTGCTGTGTGTTTTAACTTTTCTGGGCGCAAATAACTATACATTCAACCCGCCAGTTAGATATAACCACACTGACTAACTGACCGTTTTCAGGCCTCGGAGGCTCGCGTTGCCCGCCAGCCGATAGTGATGGAGACGCCAGCCGCTGCCGCCCCGGCGGCGGCCGCCGCGGCTGTCTCCTCTGCTCCAGCGAGCGGAGGATTCTCGACCTTCGGAGCTGCCCCCGCCTCCTCCGCCGGAGGGTTTTCCTTTGGAGCTGCTCCAGCCCTCTCGGGAGGCCTATCGCTTGGAACTGCCTCGGCCGCCTCTAAGGGAGGGTTGTCCTTCGGGGCCGCCGCAACCTCAACAACAGGAGGACTCTCTTTTGGAGCTGCTGCCTCAGCCGCATCCAAGGGAGGACTCCCATTCGGGACCACCGCCCCGTCGTCTACGGGAGGACTCTCTTTTGGAGCCGCGCCAGCCTCCAAGGGAGGAGGGTTCTCCTTCGGAGCCGCTGCGCCAGCGTCGTCCGCCGGTGGCCTGTCTTTGAGCGGCGGCGCCGCGGCCGCCTCTGTCGGAGCGCCCTCGTTCGGCGCCGCGACCTCAGTTGCGTCCACGTCCGCCGGCGCTGCCCCGGTGTCTGCCAGCGCTGCGCGGCCGGCCGAACGGAAACCGGTGCTTCCTACCACCCCTGCCGCACCGGCGGACGCCAAACCGGCCGCCGCCGCCTCGCGGAAGAACCTGGCACAACAGTGAGTCGTGACCAGGAGCAAACTTGGCTTTGTAGATGGTTTTGGTAATGTACTGTGTCTGAGGGCCGTCTAGTCAACGCGGAACGTGGTTTAATTTATTGCTTATTTAACAACTTAAGCACTGGATCGACGAACAATTTGAATGTTTTATGATTTTAGAATTTATCGACCAAATGCATGAAGTAAATGCTATGACGTTGTTGCCGGTTTTTCATCTCTAAGCGCATTCGCTGATCATTCTATCTCTCTCCGTTTAGGTTCAGTCAGCTGTCACAGGAGAAGCCCCAGACGGCGGCGCCAGCAGCGGCGACCCCGTCCACGTCCACCCCGGGCGCGGAGAGTACTCTCGGGGAGACCCAGCAGGCGCTGGACCGCGCGCTGGACGCCGAGCTAGACGCACTGAGGAAGGAGCTGGCCGCCGCCCGCCAGCAGGCCAACTCGTTCTCTGTCGACGTGAGTAGTGAGCGATATGGGCACACAGCGCCGCTAAACCCGAACGGGGACGACGGGCGATGCGGGCCAGAGCTCATGGCTTGTCTGGAAGGAGCAGGGAACATCGGAAACAGGTTGTCCGTTGTGAATTTAGAGTGATTTTTTTTTTACAGCCTGTGACTGTTAACTGATAGAGTTGTTTCTCTGCACTTAAGCTGACTTCCCCGCCCCTCCGACAGCTGGGAGACCCCACCGAGCTGTCGTCGCTGCGCCAGCGGTGCGCGGAGCTGGGTCAGCTGTGCTCCGAGCTGCGCCGGCTCACCGGCGAGGTGACGGGCGGCGCCGAGCAGCTGACCACCGCTACTCTGGAGCTGGCCACGACAGTGGAGGAGGCGCGCGCGCTACAGCAGCGTTCCCGGGATCCGCGCCTGGCCAGTCTGCTGCGGATGCGCCCGCTGGAGCCGGGCGTGGCGCGTCAGATGGCGGCCATCCGAGCCAGCTGGCAGTACATCGACAGCCAGCTGACGGCCGCTGGCCTGGTGCTGGACCAGCGCTGGGCCGAGTACCAGCAGAGCCGCAAACTCAGCCGGCCGGGGTGAGCGGGCGGGGGGGGGGGGAGCAGGATGTCAGTGGGACAGGGAGGGGTGCAGGGTCGGAGCGGGAGGACGACGGGTAGTCTGGTAGTGGAGCTGTGCTATAGCAGAGCGAGATTCTCCCGACACCTGCCTGTGTCGGGAGTAATTGTGTAACTGTGGGTGTCAGTGCCCAGTGGTGGCATTGTTATTGCGTTCGGATACCGCTGCGCTCTTTGCCTTTCTTTTTACACTGCAGGCGGCTGTCGAGTGTGTTGTAATCGAGTGGATATCGTGCTCCATGCTGCTCTCCGCACAGCAGAGCTGGCTATGGTGATATGCTGTGTTATACTAGTGTGCCGTGTTATAATGTGATGTGCTCCCGACTGTGACCCGATTCCGTCCACCCGCGCAGGTGGCGTTCGCTGCGGATGGACAGCTGCGCCATCCACCGGCTGTTGGTCAACAACCGACAGACGATCCTGCGGCTGCAGAACAGCGTCTCCCGGCTGGCCAGCGCGCTGGAGGGGCTCCGGCTGCCCTGCGTGCCCGCCCCCGGACACGCCGAATGGTTAGTCGCGGCTCAGTGCCCTCAGTGTAACGGGCAGTGAATCAGACTCCCAGGCATCTGATGACAGGCAGCCGAATTATCAGAATAATTGTTGAGCTGTGACTGAAATGATTTTTGGGTTTTAGTCAGAAGCGTTCGGTCGGATCATGGCTAGCTCTGTTTCCGTGTCGCCATGAATTGTTCGTCTTTGTTTTTGTCTTTATTACGTATCTGTATGTGATGGTTGACTATGACGGTGATGGTCGGCTGACAAGCGACCCCTGTTTGGGGCAGGTCGGCCGACGTCAGCCGGCTGGGCGACCAGCTGGCGGCCGCCGAGCTGACAGTAGCCGGGCCGGCGCCGCGGCGCGCCCCGCTCACGCCCGCCCGCCGGGACCGGCTGCGCGCCGCGCTGGGTGAGCGCCGGCAGACGCCCGTGCGGCGCAGCTCGCCCGGTCCGGCCCGCTCCCGGCTGCTGGCCACGCCGCTGCTCTCCGCGCCGCCCGCCGCCGGCCGCCGCACCCAGCCGCAGTACGAGGACATCAGTCCGGTGGGCACCCCGCCCGGGTCACCGCCGCCGAGCGCCAGCGGCGTCCGAGACAAGGCGCCGGCGTCGGCACCGGTGCAGCCTCGGAGGTGAATAACTCGAAATGTTGAGATATGATTTCAGTCATTAATCATATCAGTGATGTCGTAGACTTACAGTAAATACAGCTCAGTATACTCCCAAAGCCGCTTTGTTATCTACCGTAAGTGCCCTCTCGGCCCTGGACCCGTACTGCGGCACTGCTGATGCTCTAGTCGCTCCGGTCGCTCCCCCTGCTGACCGCTGTTCTGTTCGCAGCGCCGCCGCGCCGGAGGAGCCCCGAGATGTCAGCGCCAGCTCCGCCGGTCTGTCGTTCAGCGTTCCCACGGGAGGCGGGCTCACCAGCACTCCGCTGAAGCCCCCGGGTGCCGCCGGCGCGGCGCAGAAATCGGCCGCAGCCGTGGCTGGCGCTGTCCCGGCGTTCTCCTTTGGAGCTGCAGCCACAGCCAGTGGGGGAACTCCGGGGCCGACGGCGGCGAGCGCTGCCCCCAGCGCTGTGACCCTGGGGCTCGGCGGCCGGCCGGCCAGTGTCAGCTCGCTCGGGAGGACCAGCGGCGGCACACTGACGACGGCCCCGGGCAGCAGCCTCTTTGGCGGCAGCGGTGGGCTGTTTGGCACGCCGGCGACAGCAGCGGGCGGCAGCGCGGCTCCCAGTCTCAGCATCTTCAAAGTGACGCCCTCCGCCGCCCCACCGAGCAGTGCCGCGGCTGACACACCGGCCTTTTCTGCTGCTCCAGTGAAGACTGAGCCCGTCGCCTCCACCCCCAGCTCTGCGTCCGCACAGCCGACCAGCGGCGCCGCCTCGTCGGCCTCTGGCGGCTCACTGCTCTCCAAACTGATCTCGGCACCCGTCAGCGGCGGCTTTACCGGCAGTGGCGGCGGCTTTTCGTTCGGACTGAGCTCCGGGTCCAGTCCCTTCGCCGCCGCCGCCGCCGCCGCCGCCACCAAGCCGTCCAGTGGATTTGGAACAACGGCTGCCACTCCCAGTGGAGGAGGTTTCACGTTCGGGGTGGCTGCAGGCGCGGCCAAGACGACGCCGGCATCTAGCGCCGTCTCTGGCTCTACGACTACCACCGCGGCCACGAGCACCACCGCCAGTGTATCCGACACTCCGACAAGCGCCGCTTCCTCACCGGCCGCCTCGGCTTCCAGCGGCCTCAGCGGCGCCGTCGGAAGCCCACCGAGTTCGGCCGCCGCCTCCAGCCCAGCTACCACAGCCGCCGCGCCGGCGTCCACTGCCAGCCCGTTCGGAGCCAAGGCGCCGTCCGCAGGTCCGTCCGGATCGACCACCTCAGCCACGGGCTCACCCAGCATCTTTGGAGCCGCGACAGCCGCCACCAGCAGCTCTGGCAGCCTGTTCGGGGCTGCTGCTGCTGGCACAAGCTCGGGCAGTTTGTTTGGAGCTGCTGTTAGTGCGGCGGGTAAAGGCTCGGGTAGCATTTTCGGGACACCCACCTCTACCGCTACGACAAGCGCAACTGGTCTGTTTGCAGCCCCTGCTGCCACTACTGCTGCTGCAACTTCAGGTAGTCTCTTCGGAACGACCGCCTCCACTGCCACTACCAGTTCGGGTGTTTTGTTTGGAGCCCCTGCTTCCACTTCTGCCGCAACTTCAGGCAGTGTGTTTGGGGCACCTTCCACAACTGCTGCCACAAGTTCGGGTGGTCTGTTCGGAGCTACTACAACTTCTGCTACCACAAGCTCAAGCGGCTTGTTCGGATCGCCCGCTGCTACCACTACTGCCACCACAAGTTCAAGCGGTCTGTTTGGAGCACCTGCCACTACGGCTACCACAAGTTCAGGCAGTGTGTTTGGAGCGCCCACTACCACGAGCTCGGGCGGCTTGTTTGGTGGATCCACGTCGACCGCCACCAAAAGCTCGGGTGGTTTGTTCGGCGCACCTGCCTCTACCGCTACGACCACTTCTGGGAGCGTGTTCGGGACGCCCAGCTCCACGGCTACTTCTGGCAGTGTGTTCGGAGCGGCGACCAGCGGCGGCAGTATATTCGGCTCCCAGCCTTCCTCGGCGGCTGGAACCACCGCCTCCTCCGCCTCGACAGGCGGCAGTGTGTTCGGAAAACCAGCTGCCACCAGCCCGTTCGGAGCCGCCACAGCGGCCACGGGTAGCGTCTTCGGTGCAGGGTCAACCCCCAGTGTGTTTGGCAGTGGAACGGCAACATCGCCCACCTCCAGTGGCAGTATCTTCGGAGGAGGCGCCGCCACCAGCCCCGCGTCCACCGGGAGTATCTTCGGCGGGGGCACCGCCACCAGCTCATCGGGTGGAAGCATCTTCGGCGGGGGCAGCGCTGCCACGAGCGCGGGCACCGGCAGCATCTTTGGCGGAGGTGGGACGGCCACTACCTCCTCCAGCAGCATATTCGGCGGCGGCGCGGCTCCCACGAAGAGTCTGTTCGGCGGCGCGGCCTCGAGTCCGTCGGGCAGTGTTTTCGGGGGCGGCGCAGCCTCCTCCGGCGGTAGTGTGTTCGGGGGCCCCAGCTCCGCTCCGGCGACTGGCAGTGTGTTCGGCGGCGGCGCGGCCTCCAGCTCGTTCGGAGGCGGTGGAACGAGTGTGTTCGGCTCCACGGCGCCGGCGGCCAGCACCGGCAGCGTCTTCGGAGGAGCAGGTCAGTCGGGGAGCCGTACTGCGGTGTAGGGCGGTGCGAGGAACAACCACTGCTCATACTGTGCGGGTGGGATGATAACTGTGCCGTTTTTGTACTGTATATTCTCATTTCCTGATTGCATCTTCATACCACGATAGCTTTTTTGAACACGTTCCCTTGGTTGTTTGGCTAATGAATGTTCCTTCCCGTTTCGATGCTGATACTTCACTCTTGTAAAGTAGGAGTTGTAGGCCTCCCCCCCCCCCAAAAAAAAAATCCTCAATGGGCGCATACTTTCCCTGTCTTCCTGTCCGCAGCTATACTCCGCTTAATTTTCCTATGTAATACTCTGAACTAACTTCCTGTCTCCCCATCAGCAGCTGGCGGTAGCGCCGGCGGCGCTGGATTCGGCGGATTCGGTCTCGGCGGGAAGCCATCTCCGGAGAATGCCAACAGAAACGTGTTCGGCGGGGGCACCACGTTCGGCCAGGGCGGCGGCGCCAGTGAGTGTTCCCCCACTACACAGAGTTATAAGCTAGCTTTCCCTTATGCGTGGCGGAGTAACCTTGTTGACCCCGAGTTACTTTTTAGTAGTTACGACGGCTTAACCCAGACGTGTAACTCTGGTGTAAGTTGCAACCTACTATTACAATTTGAGAGCCATTCATCGTTGTTCGTGAATGAACTACACACGAGCATTACTCAGTCGAAGAAACTATTCTCTTTCTATAGGTATACTCAATACTGGATCCCTGTTCGTTGGACCCAAAAAATGCCTTATTTGTAACGTCTGTCTTCCGTTGTTCGCAGGCTCTCTGTTCGGCGGCGGCGGCGTATCGTCCCCCGTCAGCTCCGCGGCCGCCTCGCCCGGTCTGGGCTCGCCGTCCCGGGCGGGCGCCGGTGCGTTCGGCGCAGCACCGACCTTCGGCTCCAGTCCCGGTCTCGGCGGCGCCAGCGCGTTCGGCGCTGCCCCAACCTTCGGCGCAGCGGGCGGCTTCGGCGCGGCGGCGGCGGCGGCGGCCATGCCGACGTTCGGACAGGCGGCCGCGGCGGCGCCGGCGACCGGAGGATTCGCCAGGTGAGGGCACGAAGGGTTACCCGACCGGAGGGTTCGCCAGGTGAGGGCAAGAAGGGTTGCCCATGTGAGAATGGTCGCTCAGATGAAGCAGCTACACCATTGGTTCGTCCGACTTATTTGTGAAGTCATTTCTGCCTTTCTTAATGCACACAAGTTCTTGATTGTTAAGGGCTATGCTGCACTGTGTTTCAAGTTTCTATGAATCGCGCGCGCCCGTCCATGTTGCAAGGCGCGTTATTTAGCCTGAATACACCGATTACCGGTAGATTCGATTCATCTAGCCGCTTAGTAAAGTCGGCCTTCTAGCCCCCACTCAGTGGTTATCAGCGCCCTGACGTAGTTATGTGTATTTGTTCGTCAGTTTCGCGGCGGCCGACGCTCCGTCGTTCGGCGCCGTGGCCAACCAGGGTTCGCCGGCGTTCGGAGCCGGCACTCCGCAGGCGGCAACACCCGCCTTCGGAAGGTAAGTGGCGGCTCGAACCGCCTTGGAGGATAGAGTCGGACACTCTTGAGACAGAGTCGGACGCTGCAATGGGGTGGCTGATCTGCATGGTGTGCTATAGTAGATACGGTCACATGGTATGCTGCATTCCAGGACAAAATGTTGGAAAGCTAGCGACGATGATCGCGCAGGATGCAATGCCAGTTAAGGTTGATCCATTCTCGCCCACATTATAAAGTGTGCCTGCTCAAACATGCATAAGTCAGCATCCTAGTGAGTTTTATTCGGTGTTTTGTCTTTGACCTGGCTATGTCGCAGTAACTGGCGGCTAACCCCCGGGCCCGACCCCGTCCCGTTCCCAGTGGCGGCGCCAATTTCGGCTCGTGGAGATCATGAGCGGACGTCTAAGGTCTGATGCGGCCGGAGTCTGCGGCGGAGCACCAGAGCGGCATTCCATGTGTGTCTGCCAGGCGGGGGCTGCCCGTCGAGCGAGCGGTGCCGACCGCAGGCCCCGCTGCGACCATCAGCCATTGAGAGTACCGTGACTATTTACCGGCTTTGGGAGAAATACATACGCGTTTGTTGATATTTGTTTGTATTGTCATAAGTGAGTTGTGTTGAACGTACATCATTACACACTATCGATCACATCAAATGGGTTCACACACAGAATGGATGTCAATCACGTGAGACAGCCAGCACTAGATGAACACACGCAAGCTAACAGGCCGTTAGCACTATTTGACACAGGGACACTAAACCTCATCCCACACTAGTTCGACAACGGGTATATCACAACATACTAATATGTTACACTCTTTACGAAAAAAATCACAGCAGCATGGGGCGTGGCAGTGCGAACAGCGATGCCTATCTACGCAAAAACGTGGTGGAAGACACAACATGAGAATGGGGGAAAGAGCCGGACTGGGCGGAGAGCTAACCGGCATCACTCAGCAACATAAAAATGCTCAAAGGAGAAAGGACCATCGTAAAAACAGGCGTACAAAATTAGCAAAGCTACCTTACAGTCAGAACTCCGAGATGAAAGCATTGAAATGAAATATCTTACGTAAATTCGGTAACCGGAAGGACGTAATCTGAGAAAGAATACATTTGAAAGACGAAGCTCATAGAAGAGTGAGTTTGGGAAAAAGGAAAGTGCACCTAAAGCTAATCCTAAAGCTAATGAATGTATGATTTCTGAGGACGGCAATTTTGTCAAACCTTGCGAGCACACACAGACGTTGGCACGTCCTCCCTCAACCAGCCCTTTCAGCGCCCTCCCCGGGCCGTCCACATCCCCCTCCCCACGACCCCTCTCCTCTCCCTAGTCCCCACCGTCGCCCAGTTCGTCGCCGCGTTCCCTGCCGGCCGTCTCTGCCGACAGCTGCTGCAGCAGCGGCGCCAGCTGCTCGGCATACACGGGGTGGTCCGATCCGTGAGTGACACGGAGCACGGCAGCCGCCCGACGCAGCCAGCGCGCCGCCAGCGCGTGCTGGAACCGGTACAGCGCGATCTTACCCACCTTCAGGTAGAAGATGCCCGTCAGCGGGCTGCACGGTCCGTAGAACGTCCTGCGGGTGGAGAGGGATGTCAGCTACACTGGGGGACAGGGGATGAGACACTGCACGAGGGGAGGGCGGACTGGGAGAGGCGATTCGACTGCATGAGGGGCGCATGGTAAGGTGAAGCAAGAAGAGATATTTCCCATTTCGCTGGCCGGCTTACCTGCAGCCTTGTTCCTCTATACTGGCTGCCTTGGACTGACCAGTAGCCCTGGTATAGACTAGCATATAACCCTGCCCCCCCCCCCCCCTCATACTGAACTGTAGCAGGTCTAGATTTCATTCCCCAGTTACGGACAGTTTTGGGCTGGCCTGCAGCCCTGCTCCCCGTTACTGACCTGTAGCCGTCCTCGAGTTTGCTCCCCAGTTACAGATACCACTCCCTCTGCTAACCTGTATCCGTCCTCGAGTTTGCTGCCCAGCTCCAGACAGCGCTCCCACATGTCCGTGCTGATGGCGGCCTCCAGCGTCAGGTCCAGCGTCTTGACGCGGTAGACGTTCAGCGGATGCAGCATGGCCGCCTCCTGACGCTGCAGCAGCCGCAGGCAAAAGTCGTAGTCTGCCGGCGGAGAAGGACTAGGTCAGCGGAGCGTCGGGTGGCAGTGCTGTACTGTATGCCGACTGCGTCCAGAAAGCAACAGTATTGTACGAGGGAAGGCAGTGTACGATGGCTAGGCTGCTGCTGGAGGGGCAGTAGAAAGACACCAGTATCTCCGCGCCGCTGCCCTTGACTCCATTACGCGAACGTAGCGAAAGACATTTTGTCTAAAAAAAAAAACGAATAAACGTCCGTCATGTAGCGGTGTAATTCCACACATATAAGGCACATAGACGCCATAAAATACAGACAGCATATAAGCAGCGCATATCAAAGCATATACCTACTCGAACCCGACACAACACGGCGTTTATTCTGTCCCCCACTCACAGACGGTGTTGTCCTGGGCGTAAGTCCTGGTGAGCCGGGCGATCTCGTCAAACTCGGCTCCGATGTCGGCCGGGTAGCCCTGGTAGCGGCAGCGGGAACACCGCGGCGCCGCTCCGTCCGGCGGCAGCGGCACGGTGGCCGGACAGTCTGCCGAGCCGCAGCGGAGGGCGCGCTCCAGGCCGGCCGCCGCGCCGCCCCCGCCCCCGCCCGGGGCAGAGCCGGCGGCGGCCGAGCAGCGCACGCAGTCGCAGTCGAAGAAGTAGCCGTTCCGCAGCTCTCGGCGCCGGGTCTCCGTGTCGGCCATTGTGTCGATGTAACTGATACGGACCTGGGAGCAGCACAGGGTACCGATGTAGTATGTATCAAAAACGCAACTAAATAACTTCCCCGAAGTGACAACATGCACACGAGCTGGTTCAGTAAACCAGTACCAATTAGGGCACGTAGGTGTTTGTGCGTTGAACGAACAATGAGAAAGGAGTGAGTTGAGCGAACGAGAGGAAACGTGCAGGCCTAAATCTAGTAGCCGATAAAGCTATGAGAACTCCCAAACCCTAGCGCCGATCCCAAGGTCATCCACCTTGTCCTGCCGCTGGTGAAGGTGAAGCTAGGTGAAGTCGTTGATGGGCTCCAAGGATCCCCTCCCTGTCCCTATGTTCATTGTCCACCTTTTCCCAAGTGAAGTCGGGTATCGGCTCAATGGATCCCCTCCCTGTCCCCATGATATACCCACCTTCCCATGTGAATTCGGTGGGCCCAGTAGCTATTGGCATTCCTCCCCTCCCCGTCTCTCTGTTAATTACACACCTTCTCCCAGGTGAAGTCTGGTATGGGCTCGGTGGCCCGGATGCTCAGCGTCCGGCCGTTGAAGGTGGCCGCCGCGTTCGGCTGACACGAGTGGTCGATGATGGAGGCGGACAGGTAGATGCCTGTCGCCACCGGCAGCATCTCGCCGTCCAGGATGTTGAAGCCGTTGACACACACCTAGTCGGCAGTCGGAGCGGCGTGGAGTTGGTACTAGGTTCAGCACTACAGGGCGGTAAAGATGAGTTCGTACATTGGTCCCGTCCTAGAGATAGATGTCGAAACAGCTGAACGAAATCAAGCAGCTATAATAGCTGAAACAAACAGAACCCTGAAATACCGAGACTTCAATAAATGCGATATGACGCTGGAACAACATATAGCATCTTGGAGGTATCGCACTACTTCCCATAAAAACTTCATGTAGATAGACACTCATGCTATGTTACAGCAATGACCCAAGCAAAGAAAGGCCACTCAACTGTAATGGCAAATCCATTTATGAAATAATTCGTTGTTAAGACTATCGTCGCTGCCACCGTCGTCTCTACTCACCCGTCCGTACATGCCGGCCAGCTCGGAGTCGTTGGGGAAGTTGTCCGGCCCGAGGAACGACCTCAGCACGACGGTGAGCGCGGCCACGTGCTCCATCCGCCGCGGAGTAGCCTTGATGTCGCGGTAGTGAGACATGAGATCCTTGAAGGAGCGGTGCCGGGTGTCCGTGATACGGTCCGAGATGCGGTCACCGCCGTTCTGAAGAGGGAACACACAGGGAGTGTCAGAAGGGTGTTCAACGTCCGAGAAAACTTCGTGATACTGCGCGGTGTCGAATGTCCCGACATCAAGCGGTAACATAACCCAACACAACAATATCATCAAGCGTCGCTCATTGGGAAGCTGCAGCGATGACAATGTGTACACCCTTCGAATTGGCGGGTCCTAGCCGGGCGGTGCGCTCGGCTGCCGCTCACCCTCAGTTTGACGATGAGTCGCGCCAGTAGCAGCGCCGTGTCGGGCGGCAGACGCGGAGACACCTTCTTCAGACGGGCGCATTCCGATCTGGGGGGATAGCCAGCCATCCGAGAGGGGGCCGGGGCGCTAGGTCAGATCACTGTCAGGAGGTAGTGCGCATGGAGGACCATTAGGGGAACATAACGTGGCTGTACGGTGGCTAACATAGATGCAACATTATAACAGTAACAGCACGACACACAAATACACCTATACAGTGCAGTGAAGAAATAATTGCAGGATGCTACGGCACAAGATCATAATACGCTGTGCCTGGTAAGTGGTAAGCAATGTGTTTCTTGAATGGAACATCACATCACCACAAGCATGCGTCTTTTCCAATCCCATTTCGATATGATATCTCCAAAGTCCCGTCCCCTTTATATTCTGAGCTCGGATTTCGGCTCGGCTGTCTCCCCCGTGTCAGTGCCCCGGTACTTTAAATTGGAGGTCCAGATCCGCGGCGCCCACGGAAGCTCAGCTGTGTGTATTGGCACCTGGCCGTCAGAGCCGTGACTCATCCCTCCTCCCCTTCCCTCCCTCTCTCTGCACAGCCGGTCTGTCCCGCAGTGTGGGTCGGTCGGTCCCCCCGCGCGACCCCTCTCCCCACTCACCGGTGGAACTCGCTCCAGGCCCGCTTCTGGCACTCGCGGTCACAGAAATACATCACCTGGCACCCGGAGCACCGGTGCAGATGGTCCCGCCTGGCCGGCAGCGAACACACACACGCACACAAACACACATGTAGTGAGCACAGGCGCCAGGATCTCCGGGGGTTGATAAGGGCCATGCCCCGTTCGATGCGAACGGTATCATTAATCACAACCCGTTCGGAGAGAACGGTAACAACCCTCCCAAATATCCACAGGATCACGGCAAAACCAATCGTAAAACACGTGGGTATATACTTAGGTTTGAATGTCTTCCACCTCAATAGCTGTCCAGTAGTACTACATAAGACTACTTTCATTCAATTTCGAGGACTGATGGATAGTACAGATGATCGTTAAAACATAGCGGCGGTACAATACAGCTGTCTGTATAAAAGGCATCGCAAAGATAAACACCGATACCGCAAGTCAGCACCAATACTCATTGATGACTAGATAATAACTCAACTCAAATGAGCACAGTGCAAGCCACAACAGACTATTCACAGAGGCTCACTTTTCCAGGCAGTAGGAGCAGCGCACGCGGAGACCGTCGGATTTGAGGACATAGACGAATGGCTGGGCAGAGAGAAGCAGCTGGCCGCGCCGCACGTGCGGCCGTACCCCGGGCCCGGTCCTCAGCAGCACCTTGCCGCCCGGAGGGGACATGGCGGCCGGCGGCGGCGGACGGCGCTGAAACACACCGGGGAGGCGCTGAAACACACCGGGGCGGCGCTGAAACACCAGTTGGAGAGCTCACTATAAATCACGCTGCAGTGGAGAGCCTGCGCCCTGCACTACAACATACCTGGGTCTTGTTTCATATAGCCATGACAGGGCCCATTCACTGCTAATAATTTCAATATTTCAGCACATTTAGCCCTTTGGCATCATATGGCCTGTCCCTGTACTGGCCTGTCCCTTAGCTCAGTTAGTAGAGCATTGGCTTCCCAGTAGTGAGAGGCTCACCCATGTTCGAGTCGCTCTGGCGCACGATATTTGATACTCCTGACGGGGATGGTCTGCAGTTGGTGGGAGCAGCCGCAGCCAGTTAAAATCAGTCATTTGGGGCAGGCCGTGTCCGGCTTTGAAGGGCACGACTGTACACTTGTGATGTGACAGGCTATAATAAAAAGCTATCGATTCCTTGGCCAGCCAATTTCTTCATATTACCCATACAGTTTTTCCTCAATGACAATGCACCAGCTCAGCATTTGACAGCTTAGTATAGGAGGCTTGCGCCAGCTCACATTCAGGCTTATGTCGCTTCATACAAAATCAGATATCTGCACCACATCAACATCAATTTACCTTAACACCTTAACCTTAACGCGGTTAACACCTTAACCTTAACCTTAACATTGGTTTTGAGTTGAGATAGCCAAATTGGGGTCCCTGGCTTGCACTTACCAGTTACTGCACTCACAACATTGAGAAAGGCTTTAATTCAGAGATCTTTGATTTTAAATTTGCAGCACTTTGGATTCAGAGCCGAGGGGCTAATGCATTTGAGTGCTCCCTCTGAATTTGTGATGTCAGCACAAATCTAGCAATTTTAAAATCTTAAACTGACACCTTTATTAAGTGAAGAGGTGGTGGCATATGTTGGTTCACCCACAACATCTGCCACACTTTTTTTAAGATACCAAATCATTCCTTCCAAATGATGTCGTAGGAACATGAAAATAGAAGAATAAAAAATAAACAAAAGTGATTGTCTGATATCTCAAAAACCAGTTACTATTTGTCAATGAAATTTTGCAGATATTCATTTATGCTCACTCTGAAGTTAAACGAAGCAACACTAAGCTAATTCATTATCTTGTTTGAAGGTGGGAGGGTCCCGTTAACTGCTTAACCCTTTATACTGGCTGACTGTGTCTAAACTTGTAAGATCACATCAAAATTATCATTCATTAACGATTGTTTTCATCAACACAGCACACTAAGGCTTGAAAAATGAACTCCACGACTTTGACTGACATTAGAAACAGGCTCAAAACCGTCACACTCTTATCATATCAAGAAACCACACCTGACACCATATCTATGGTATGCAATGCAATGTCTAAAAATGGAACATAAGGAAGCCATAAGAATATCTTACCTGTTAATACATCAAATTACAGCAAAATGCAAACGAAACGCATCAATTCTTCGATCAAATTGTCTGTATCAAATTTCTCATAAGAAAATTGTGCGTCACTCATCGACGCAGCTACGTCATTTATGTAGATCTCGGTAAATCAAGTGCTTTTATATAAAAAAAAATGTTTGCAAAGGAAGGACAAAAATATTTTTAACCATTCAGCAGTAAATTTGAAGCTCAAATGCTTTTTAGAAATATTTCTTTGTGTAGTAGACATTGAAGTCTTTTTGCGAAAAATAGAAATCACAATGGATAATTTTGGTTGTCATGGCAACCACAGCAGACAACAACAAATACCTAGCGGCGTCGGCGGCTGACATCCTTCGCGTTGTTTGGGTTGGTTTGGGTGTATTGTGTAATTTGCTCACCACGTTCCATCTGCCCTGGGTAAGCTTTATATTTATAAAAGGGCTAAGTAAATGAATACCGGTTATCGAAGGCAGGCAACCCGGCTCTGGTTCAGGTTTTGCCGGAATATATTGATATTGATACGGGTACCCCGTACCTACCAGCTTCGGACAAATCACAAACTTTCGTTACGACTTACGATATTCTCGTATATCTTATGCTATCATAACATGTTGTTGTCATGCTGATTGATGGTCCTTTTTTAGTTTATCCTTTTCCTCTCTAAACCTGTACGAGTGATCGATGCGGCGGGTTCCGGAGCTGACTGCTCGCTTTACTCTAAAACTAAAGCGTCCGAGTCCGAAGTGAAAGGCTAGAGTCTAGGAAAGTTGAGTAGTGCACCATAACTCAATATCAATGTCTGCAATTGCCAATTGGCACCCTGCGGCTCACGCAACAGCCCGGAGTCCGGGCTGGACTTTCCTAATCTCGCACCGTCTCAAAGTCTTAGACTCCCGCCCGGTCCACGACTCCACCTTTGCGCCCCTGAGCAAACCCTGCCCCCCAATCTTGACTACCTGCGTAACCAGCCTGATGATCGTTTCGTTGCTCCATCCCCTTGTTCCAATTTGTTCCGCTGATGACCGGGAATGTCGAAAGGTTAACCCTCGCCGGACCTATTGGTTTTCTACATACGCGCCGGCCGAGGGGGGGGGGGGCGGGTACGACCCCCCCTCGCCGTTTCGCCCCTGGTGGAGCTAGCGCGTCGCGGAAAAAACGAGCGTGTGCGCCGTTACGAGACGCAGAGATTGGTACCCGATTTTAAGGTCCTAGGTCAACCGGTGACCTCTGAGGTCAGGTCAAGTGCCCCAGGGTACGGTTCAGTTTTTGGTGAATATGTTCGCAAAAAACGGCCGCAGAGCGCCGATTTTGGCAGCATCGTGTTCGCCTCGCTCAGGCGCGTCGAATGATATACTTTTTGTCCGGGTCAGGTCAACTTGGGGTGTTGACCTCAGGTCAAGGTCAGGTCAGCACCCCCAGGTCACGAAGTTGGTCGAAAGAGGTCATGTCGCATATCATTCGATTCGGCAGGCCTTCCTGAGTCCATTGGTGCCTTTTTCGACTCGCTAGCTCAACTTGATCAAGAGTTATTGACGAAAAACTAATTTGACCTTGATGACGTCATAAATGACGTCACGCAAGGTCAACATTGCAAAAGTGACGCATCTAACCTTGCAAGGAGTGCATCAAATCACGATTCTGTGTGCTTGAGATAGTTGGAGATCGTTCCCGGCGCCAGAATAGCAGTTTGAATTTTTCCCCATTGACTTATAATGGTGAGGTCACGAAAATGACCTGACCTCATATGACCTTTAGGAAAAATCCGAGATATACAAGTTGTGGGACTCATAATGGATACTAGATCCTGCAAGTTTCATTTCCCTGTGACATCTCCTCTGGCAGTGAGGGCGTTGCGAAGTTGCGACATCTGAAGACCGTGCAGAGGTTCACTTATGACGTCATAGGTCAGTGACCTGACCTGACCCAAAAATGCGGTTGGTGTCAAAAGATCCGGCTTGGATCAAAGGTCAGGTATGTCAAGTTTCAGCTCTCTATCGCCAGCGTGTTCGGAGCAATCGCGAAAAAACCCTATGGGGGGGGGGGCGGCACCCGCCCCCCCCCCTCGGCCGGCGAGGGTTAATTGAAGCGGTGATATACCATCCTATCCTAATGATCCATCGATAGAACACCAAGGCGTCAAGTGTGCTAAACCAAGATTCGACGAAATCACTGCGTATCGTTGGCTGACAAAAGTGGGGTTACTTTCATGTAGGACGCCGGTGTTGTGTTGGTTCGGTTCGCCCTGTGTTAGCCATTCGCAGATGTATCGCTTGATGCCATTGATCCAATGTGTTCGATACTGGCGTTGTTGACAGGCACTGTAGGAGCCGCAACAATGATGGACAACGACGACCTCTACTCGGGCTATGACTACAGCTCGGCCATGGACTTCTCGGCTATGGACGACGACATTCACTTTCAGCAAGCAATTAAAAACTCAATGACAAGAAGACCGATGGTAAACAACCGAAACATCGCATGCGTCGTTTATAAATCCAAGGAGCAGAGCACATGATTGGGCACTTCGTTCCCGATATGAATCATTCATAGTGACAATACCGTCTTTGGATGTTCATGTTTCAACAGCATTAGGTACTCATGGTTTTGGAAATGCATGGGCCATTTGGAGCTATGCGATTGATTTCCTGTAGCATGGCCGTTAAGTTGACGGCGTTGCGTATTAGGATTGCAAAATAAACGTTGAACACAGGAACAGTAATCAGAATGAGGCACTTTCAGATAATTGTTTTTGGTGTTCTCACATGAATGATAACTCCGATGTTTTGATTGAACTTTCTGTCATTACAAGCACTGACTTAGCAAATAAGGGACACCCAATGAAACGTTTTAAACAGCATAAATAATTCAAATAGGCTGTAATGTCTCCTTTGCTGTTATAACAGTAATAAAGGATATTGTATACCTTTAGATGCTGACTGTTCTAATGATTGATGCCGTTCTATCCTGGATGTTTTCAGGAATGCCATTGCCAGGAATGTGCATTTGTCTTTATCTCAGTGTTGATCGATCATTGTTGACTCTAAATGCTCGTATTTATCAGCATCGATAGTCGCAAAAGGCGGAAACTGTCGGAAGCCTATACCTTTGTTCCAGTAAAGTGAATTGCCGATTCCACCTGTTTTGGTGAGCGCCTATATAGTTCTCCAGTATGTGCGGGGGTTTCCGACAGTGGCCGTCCGGTCCGACTCTGTGCCGGTGTCGGGCTGACCGCGCCCGTGCCGCCTGTACCGCCCGTGCCGCCTGTACCGCCCGTGCCGCCCGTACCGCCTGTACCGCCGTCACTGATCGGTGCCTGCTCCGCGGCCCACCACTGTGCTACTATAGACCCAGAGTCGTCTGCTAACCGGGATGGGCGGCTCGAGGCCGGCCACGCGCGGCCAGCCGCGCACCGGCCTGCTGCGCAGCGCCGCGCCCAGCACTGCATCCGTAAGTGAGAGGCAGTCCCCCGCCCTTACCGCTGCTTCCAGCACCACTTCCCGCACCGCCTCACCCAGCACCGCCCCAGCAGCGCCTCCGTATGTGGTCCACCTCCCCCGTACCGCCGCGCCCAGCACCGTCCCGGACAACCGCGCCCAGCGCCGCCTCCGTAAGTGGGCGGCGGCGCCCTGTAACTCTCTCCAGCACCGTCCCATCTCACTGCACGGAGGAGATAGTGCTCGTGTTGGAGCCAGACAGTCTCAACTCCCAACCGTTGTCTACACACACTCCGGTATCATAGCTTGCTCAATGTGTGCTTTGTTCCTTCTATTCGTACGCACTTTTAACCCTATTAGTGGCAGGCTCCTGGCTACCCCATATTAGTGGCAGGGGGGGGGGGGCTGTTTACGACCCCCCCCTTGTTATCTCGAGATCTAACCGGCTGATTTTCAAAATTCAAACGGCATTCGATTTGGCTCAACGAGATCTACATTTCTAAAAAAAAAAAAAAAATTAAAAAATGTCAATAGGGGGGTAGAGGGGGGTAAAAACGGGCAAATTGCAGATACATTTTAGACTGTTTATCACGGCCAGGTTTCTGAACCAATCTTAACGCAACTTTTGCCGATCGATAGAGAATGGACCAGGAATTCACATGGATCCTAAAAATATGCATTTTCAAAAATCATAGGCGGATACAGATCATTGAGATTGGGGGTACACAAAAAGTATAGTAAATAAGGTTTTTGTTGGTACTGTTTCTATAAAGGGTAGCAATGGTCTTGTTATGTTCCAATTTTCTTATGAGAGAACGACTAAAATTGTATTGGTCATGCATAGGCGGTGTCAGGGCACCTATGTTGGGAGGTAAAAATAACCCCCCCTTTTTGGACGCCTGGATCCGCCTATTATAGCAAAAACGTGTCAAAAGAGGATGCACAATAACTTTGTATATGTTATCACATGATACCTTTCATTCACTGTTCGTAAAACTGGCGCAGCATCGTGATCTTTGCCCAAATGACTCGCTTCACGAATAGGACCCCCCAATTCCCAGTGCTCTGGAGCCGCCCCTGGTAAAGTTATGAACTTGAAATTTTCAGGGAATATGCCCAATTTAGTTTTAGGAAAAGTCAGAAAATTTCAGCATCGTAGCTTCAGCGGTTTCGGAGATATTCCCGAAAAACCTGAGGGGTGGATAAAAACAACCCCCCTGTCACTAATAGGGTTAACTGTCTTCATAATTGTTTGATGGTGCCTCACTCTATTTGTATTTTATGTAATTGACGGAACGCATAGTAATTTTATCTCGCGCAAAAACTCGCTGATGGAAAATTTGATGTGCAGATTTGGAGAGAATAAAGACAGTCGGTTTTTGGAGAAAGTTAACCGTCTTTTATATTCTATTTATATTTTATATTACAAGCTATTTCGGCATTTTTTCCTTGTATATACGGGTGGTAAAATGGCTCCAAAGAAACGTAAAGCTAACGATGACGAGTATATCGATGCGATCGATGATTATTCCGGCAAGGAAGACGTCGTACGGTGGCTGAACCGAACTGAAATACTGTGCGAGCTGCAGGGCAGTGATATTATGAGGATCCTGCCTCTGAAGTTGAAAGGTGATGCATTCACTGTTTATGCACAGTTGCCAGCGAGAGATCGAACGTCGTACGAGTCGGTGAAGGACGCACTGCAGTCTGCGTTTGCGCCAGATCCCCTTATGGCGTATGAAGAGTTTGTGGCTAGGAAGCTCAGACCAGGTGAAGCAGTGGATGTTTTCCTGGCAGACCTCCGGCGACTGTCCACACTTTTTGGAGGTGTTTCAGATCGGACCCTTCTGTGCTCTTTTATCTCTGGTCTTCCACTATACGTGCGTGAAGCAATCGGCGCCAGCTATCGAGTGCAGGACCTGAGCATCGAGAGCGCCTTGAGCAGTGCCCGACGGGCCGTGAAGAATGACCCGGCGCTGGCAGCCGCGGCGGCAGGAGAGCGCCTCACGCGGGCACAGAGAAACAATCACGAAACGACGGCTGAGCCATCTAGAGCTGCGAGACGTGTGACAAGACGGTGCTGGGTGTGCGGCGAACCCAACCATTTGGCGTCTCGGTGCCCCGTCCGTTCGGGAAACGGCGTGGGAGATGGTGTGTCAGCGCCGGCGTCATCTCCCGCGCAGTGACGGGTGGCGCTCTGCCGGTCGTAGACCTGACTGTTGACGGGCACAGGTGCCGAGCTCTGGTGGATTCTGGCTGCACAGAGAACCTGGTTTACAAGTCTGTGTGTGAGGCGTGGCGGCCTCAGAGAACAGCGGTAACGTCGATGAGTGGAGACCCGTTTTTCTCCAGTGGGGTTGGAACTGTGCAGCTGAGAACGTGTTCCGGGCAGTCGGCGAATGTTTCTGCACTGAAAAAAACTTACTCCCCATTTTCTAATTTTAGAATGCCAAAAAGCACTCCTGCAATCGAATAATTTTATGACCTGGCATAAGCGCCTAAAATGGGGAGTTTTGGGGAATAAAACCAGCGTATAGAATATATTTAGTATCCGAACGCTTATATTATTCGTGCTAGGGAGTAATTTTATGACGGAGGATAAAAGTATGCTATCTTTGGGTAAAATTACACCAGATGATAATTTTATTAACTTAATACTAAAATTACTCCCATTCGGGGAATAATATTGCCATGCCAAAAAGCACTCCTTTTTTCGATAATTTTACCCCGGAGTAACTCCCCGGTAAAATCAATCCCCGGTGTAAAAGTACCACCCCTGATAATGCGGGGTGATGTGATAATATTATGACCAAGTGTAAAATAAGGAATGCATTTAAACAATGTATTGAAGCACCAACAATTGATTAACGAATGGTACCTGAGCATCAGCAGGTACATCTTAATTTGGACGCACTTCCAGTGATGGCGAATTGCGGCCGACAGGGACGTAATTTTGCTTCCTAGTTGAGAAGCGGCGTCTCAACTGGGAGGCAAAACTTCGTCTCTGCCGGCCGCAATGCGAAATCACTGGAAGGACGTTCAAGGTCACAACTCACAAGGGCGTTATGGTTAACACTGAGGCTAACGAATAACATCTGCGCACAGAACCACCGCCACGGATGGCAGATAAAACGAGCGTGTATGGTTAACACTGAGGCTAACGAATAACATCTCGCACAGAACCACCGCCACGGATGGCAGATAAAACGAGCGTGTATGGTTAACACTGAGGCTAACGAATAACATCTGCGCACAGAACCACCGCCACGGATGGCAGATAAAACGAGCGTGTATGTTTAACACTGAGGCTAACGAATAACATCTGCGCACAGAACCACCGCCATGGATGGCAGATAAAACGAGCGTGTACGGTTAACCCTCGCCCTGGCAGGGCATTTTTCATAACACGGCCTGGCAGGGGGAGGGGTTGATGCGACCCCCCCTCGCGATTGGCTCCTATGGCACCTAGAAACACCAAATTTGGTAGGTAGGTGGGCCTCCTAGAGTTCTCGCCCCTGTGCAAATTTGGTTGCTCTAGGTCAATATTTAGGGGGGTTTTGGGGGGTATAAATGTAAAAATTTCGCGAAAAACAGGTCAAAAGTTTTTCGCTTATAACTTTTGATCTAATTAAGATAGAGCAAAAAGAAAAGCGCCAGTGAACTCAGCACGTCAAGGCGCGTCGAATGATATACTTTTTAGCCTGCTTAAGTGTACTTAAAGTTTTTCTTAAATTTTAAGTAAACTTAAATTTATACATTAAGTTCAAGTTAACCAAATTGCATCATATCGCATATCATTCGATTCGGCTGATCACCAGGAACACAATGATACTATTTTTTAAGCTCTAGAGTCATTATGTGCCAAGTTATTGGCAAAAACGTCATTTGACCTCAGTTGACCTCATTTGACCTGACCCAAGGATAAGTACACCAAACAAAGAAGTACCAAGTGACCTGCTGTTAAGTACTGTGGTTTCAAAGCACAAAAGTGATAGAACGAAGCGGATATCTCCAGTATTTTCCGAATTTAGTATTTTCCCATAGGCTTAACATTACGACGTAATGACCTCTAACTGACCTCAGGTCAGTGACCTCAAAAAACCCGAACTATATGTTATACAACTCGGTGAACTTAGCACATCCTGAAAGTTTGAAGGAAATCAGTGCAAAACTGTGAGTTGGACAGGTGCAAAAAGAAAATTGAAATTTGACTATGACCTTGTACCGGTTTTTCTGACCTGGTGACCTGACCCAAGGTCACTCGGACCTGGAATTTTCAGGTCATATGTAGAAAGGTTGCCCCATAGGCTGTGCCAAATTTGGCGGCGCTGCGCGCCGCCGTTTTTACGCTATCTTCGAAAAACCTTAGGGGGGGTCGCATCGACCCCCCCTGTTAGGGCGAGGGCTAACACTGAGGCTAACGAATAACATCTGCGCACAGAACCACCGCCACGGATGGCATATAAAACGAGCGTGATCTGGGCTATGAAAGACGTACTGAGACTCATTGGCGTACTGAGACCGCCGCAGCTGAATTAGTCATAATACAGAGGCTCCAGTAGTGTGAGCCACACGTTGCGAGTCACTTGAGCCACAGGTGAGCCACAAGTCACGAGTCACTTGAACCACAGGTGAGCCACAGGTCGCCAGTCATTCGAAGTGGGCATCTCCGATGCTGGTTCTACACTACCTGGGTAACCTCCCATGCACCTTCTGTGATAAGTCAGATAGGTTTACTTTTTTACATCGAATCCCACACTCCGGTAAAGAATCTCGAACAGGGCCCTGCAGGGCCCCGTGAACTTTGTGTAGAAGACAGCGTGGGCGGCCGTCATTAGGGCCACGGTCTCCAACCTGGTGGCCGGCAGTTGGCAGACCACCACACCGTCCACCGATAGTTCCTCACCTGCCTGACGAACCCCGTTTCTCGGATCCGCCAAGGTGCCAATGGTTGTTCCACAACCATAGGCAAGTAGAGCTAGCAGCTCGTCGTCTGCCGTGAAAAAGAATATT